GCCACCCTCCCCGCTGGGCCAGGGGGAAGCAGGGCCATAAAATAGCAAAAAAATGAGCCAAAAAAAGCTACAAAACCATCAGAAAAAATAAACAAAGCGGGGGGGGGAGTATATTTAGGAAAAGATGCTGTAGGAAAAATCAGCCAGAAACCTCCCTGTCTCACAGCTGCTGAGGGGAGAAGTTTGGAACGAAATAAGCCCAAACTTTGGTTATTTTTTTATTTTTTTTTTGGCATAAAACAATTGCGAGCCGTGCTGGGCCGCAGCGGTGTCACGCCTCCTCGGCCACGGCTCGTTGCTGCCATCGCACGTCCAGCCCCCGCTGCACAAGTCGCATTTCTGCCACCGCTGCTCGGGCCTGATCCTGCACACCCCTGCGGTTGCAGGATTTTCCCTCCGGCCCAGGAGACTCCTAAGTGCTATGTTTGCTGTGCCGGCTCCTTATTGCAAGAAGTATTTGCACAGCTCCTCCATCCTGGCGCGCGCACCGCGTCACCAAAGCATCTGCCGTAACTCCGTGCCGATTCCCCCTGGCTCTCGCTGCCGAATAAAGCCCCTGCCAGGAGTGCTGCCTGCACCCCTGCCCATCCCTGCAGGCAGCGAAGCCCTGGGGGTGATTTCTCCCATCATCTTCGGGGCAATGTGCTGCTGTGCACCCCGGCTGCAGCCCCAGCGCCCACCGGGAACGGGGCAAAATTGGGAAGTGGAAGGAAAAAGCTTTTGTGCACAAAACCAGCTGGGTCTGCTGGTCGCTTCTGCTGGCCTCCTGCCCCCGTGGCACAGGAATTGCAGCTGGTGGCTCTGCTGTCCTGCCCCATGGCACAGGAATTCCAGCTGGTGGCTCTGCTGGCCTCCTGCCCCCATGGCACAGGAATTGCAGCTTGTGGCTCTGCTCTCCTGCCCCATGGCACGGGAATTGCAGCTGGTGGCTCTGCTGGCCTCCTGCCCCATGGCACGGGAATTGCAGCTGGTGGCTCTGCTGTCCTGCCCCATGGCACGGGAATTGCAGCTGGTGGCTCTGCCGGCCTGGCCCCAGACACGGGAAAAG